GTCTTTACAGAAAATGCAATCACCAATTAATCAGGAAGGATTTGGTCTTCAAAATCTGGAGCAATATTATCATGCTTATCTATTGTCAAGTATTAAATAATGGAAGCCCACAAGTGGTGTTAATTTTCCAATTTGGGCAACTTTGGAATATACATATCTAACACCTTTGGTGGGATGCACAGTATTAGAGTCTAAATATACTAAAACTCTAATATCTCTGGAAACAATTTCATCAGTTAGAAAGCTATGGAATATAATGTCTAATAAAAAAAAAAGATTTGACTCTTTTTCCCATGCCAAACTGACTCTATGGGGAAAGCCAACTTTAAAAATTGGGAAAAGGATGATGATATGGAAAAATTGGATGGAAGCAGGGATATTGACTCTGGACCAACTGATGAAGATGAATTTTTAATATATGTTGTATTAAGAGATAAATACCATCTATTGGGTTTCATCTAGGACAGTGGCTTTGACACTCACCAGACACTGCCTGCCCTCTTTGTGACTAGTGTACAGTCTCTGGGTGTTGGACTTGGGGTGGAAACCTCTGTACATTGTGAGGAGCTTCTGGGTCTTCACATTGGCAGCCTCCATGTCTTCCTTTGGCCAGCTCACTATACCGGCAGGGTATTTGATGACTGGCAGGATGTACATGTTGATGGCATGGATCTTGTTCTTCCCTTTGAGCTGGCTCTCCTATGCTTTGGTGGTACTTGGATGTTGCAGTCTTCCTTGCCTCTTCATTGTGGTTCCCATGTGACTGTGCGATACCATGGTATTTGTAGCTGGTCTCTATGTCTGCTATGTGGCCAACTGGTAGTTCCACCCCATCAGTCTTAACTACCTTCCCTCTCTTTATTATCATCCGGCCATACTTCTCCAGTCCGAATGACATCCCAATGTCCTCATTGTAGATCCGTGTCAGGTAGATCAATGTGTCAATGTCTTGTTCACTCTTAGCATGCAGCTTGATGTCATCCATGTAGAGGAGGGGGCTGATGATAGTTCTGCTCTTGAACCTGTATCTGTATCCAGTCCTTTTGATTATCTGGCTGAGGGGGCTCAAGCCTATGCAGAACAGCAACGGGGACAGTGCATCATCTTGGTATATGCTGCACTTGATGGCCACTTGTGTGAGCTGTCTTGAGTTGACTTCCAGTGTTGTCTTCCACAGTCCCATTGGGTTCTTGGGACAATAATATATATATTCTTATCATGATATCAGATAAAAAGCAGTCCTAATAGCAGACAAGTTTAACATTACTACTAAAAAGATTAGGCATGTCAGAATCTATTTAACAAGAAGTAATAAAAATTTGTTCAGGAACAATGATTCCCAGACATGAAGGAATAGAATAGCAGGTATTTCAATATGGAATGAACACTGTCCTGGTCAGAATGAACACCTTGCCAAGGCTTAAGTTTTTGTTCTAAAGGAGCCCAATAAGAACAAAAGAAAAGACACTAAATCACTGGCAGAGATGAGCAACTAATTTTATATGGTCTAAAAAAAGTCCTAGGAGGTAAAGTTCAAAATTTTGCAAAATGCAAAAGAGCAAGGTGGATGGGTGGCCCCAAATGCTAAGTTGCATTATGAGGCTGGTTGTTTACCTGGGATAAGAGACTGATTTAGAACATTTATGTCTCAATGAAACAAGCAGGACTTCTAGGAACATGCCAACTCCATCAGAATGTATAGGATAGAGATAGAGATAGATAGAGACAAGGGTTAGTAACAGGACCCTGTTCTATGAAAGGCTTTACAGGTGATAACCAGCACTTTGAGTTGCCCCCAGAAGCCTACCAGTGTAGCTCAAGAAGCAGAGCTGCAGCTTCTGAGTGGTCTTCGAGGGCAGCCCCATGTAGTGTGCATTGCAGTAGTCCAGATGCACAGTGACCAAAGCATGAGTGACTGTCTTGAGGGTCTCTCAGTCCAGCTATGGATGCAACTGGAACATCAAGTGAACATGAACAAAGGTCTTCCTCACCAGAGTACTCATGAAGCTGTGAATCCAACAAGAGCCCCAGATTGTGCATCAGCTCCAAATTTGATGGTCATGGAGCACAGTCAGAGGGAGGGAGGGAGGGGCAACAGGAGGACATGTTTCCTCAGCATGTAAGGTGGAGGAAATCAAAAGAACCCAGTTGCAGCCATGTATGGCAATTCACATACATCACCCTCACTTTTGTGCCAATCGTGTGCAAATGCCAAGGAAGCTTCCAAATGAGATGAGGGGTTTTAACTGTGTGGCAGCTCTACCCTACAACATATCTTCCAATCAGCACATGCAGATAGGCTTCCATAACCCTCCAAGATCCCAGTGCCACAAGCAAAGTGAAAGTTTGTCACAGAAACCTGTTTTGCCCAAATAAGGGATCATGCAGAAAACAGAATATACTCCCCTTTTCCTACTCACAGAGATATGGAAAATTCTTTATCATTATGTGAAAACCTTGGCTAAATAATTGGCTAAATAATTACTCAAGAAGCACATCTCAGTTGTTCTTTGGGCCCAGTAATGATTAATTTGATTCCATTTGCTGCATCCTTAACTGAATAGTGAAACATTTACCCCAAAGTCTATATAAAATATTATTAACATCTGTCCTAAAAGCTGGGTTGTTGCACAGTTCAAATAAGTTTAAACTTGTTCGCAAAAGTTTTGTAGATCCCACCCATAGGTAGACAAGTTCAGATCAAATTCCTGGGGAGGAGAGAGAAACAAAGGGCAAAGTTCAATGTCCTCTCTTATATAGGGTGATCTGATGATTCAGTAGGAAGAGTAGACAGGCGATGCCTCATGCTAAGCTTTGAAAAACAGGCTTATGTCACTTCGGTTTGCAGAATTCATTGTAATTATTACTGAAAACTGTAATTATTACTGAAAACAAGGAAATGGATTGGACTGGACCAATTTTAATATTATTACTATTTATTCTTGCAATTGTTTCCCTTTTGAAGAAGGGCAGTTCCTGGAATGACAGCTCTCCAAATCTTCCCCCGGGACCCAGGACCATACCCATTTTGGGAAATCTGCACCTGGTGGATCTGAAGAGGCCTTTCAGAACAATGATCAAGGTAAAGCCTGATGATGAACAAGCCGGAGTGTTATTTGCCAAAGTTTATTGACATAGCACAAAATCTTGGTAACTTACTCAGATAAGTCTCATGTGCTCCGTGTTGGTTTTCAATGTTATGGAAATATTTAAAAAATGGGCATTTACCTACTCTTCGAATACATTTAAATATCCAGGTAGGATTATTTCAAGAATTTTGTTTTTGTTTTTGTTCGTAAATTTTTTCTAATTGTTTATTCAGATTTACAGAGATGGTTCAAAATCCCAGTTAGCCTCTGAGGAAATATAAATGCTGTTAAGCTGAATGACTTGATAGATGTTCTTAGAGGGGCTCCTATGTTTGTACCTTTTAAGCAGAATTATAAGTAATTAAAACAATCTCTTCAGGAAGGAACACCCCACCCAAGCTTCTCTTACAGTTTTATATTAAGGAGAGGGGAGTAACTTTCCTGATTTTCAGCTTCATCCATGAAAATATATTTTAAGTTCTTCCATAAGGAATTCACATGATCACCTTCAAAAAGTCCTAGGGGCACAATTGGAAAGTTTCTGTATGATCCCTTCAACAACGTGGCAGAGGCTCAGTTTCTCTTTTAGTGAAAATTCCACTATGTCCAGCACTAAACTAAATTTGGAAAATACTGGAATATTAAGTATATCTCTTGTGCAGGCTTCATATTCACACAAAGTCCTGCACGGTTGACTCCTTTAGAATTCATGAGAAACATCAGTTTGGCATGATGATCTCAGTTGCAACGATCCTTTTATTACATAAGGGTTCTTTTTTCTTTGTGATATACATACTGTATAAATGAAATGAAATGAAAATTAAAAATCATAACAAAAATAACAGCATCACAATATGCCATAAAACAGAAAATGAAAATAACATGACCTCCAGCTTGGATTGTGACACATGATATTTTAAACAAAATTCTTCATATGATCATTTATTTATGTATTTATTTACTTACTTACTTACTTATATTTCAAATTTGTCACCGCCCATCTCACTGTGGGGTGACTCTGGGAGGTTTACAGTAAAAATAGAATAAATATTGATTAACATAGATAAATATTAATTATTTAAAATATGTTAAAAACACCCTTCCTTTATAATACTTCCAAGAGGCAGATGTTACATAGGTGTTAATAGACTTAGGGCGCATCGTCAAGGTGCCAGCCATCCCCAGGGTCTATTGTATCTTTCCTTGCCCCAGGCAAGTTAGCAGAGCCAAGTCTTCAATTCCCTCTGAAAAATTGGGAGGGCAGGGCCCGCCTCACCTCTGGGGGGAGAGCATTCCATAGGGCAGAGAAGGCTTTCCTCCTAGGGCCTGCCAGTTGACATTCTTTCACTGACAGGATCTGCAACATGCTTTCTGTGCTGGACCGGGTGGGACAGGTCGATGTAATGGGGGTGAGATGGTCCCTCAGGTAACCTGGACCCATGCCATGTAGGGCTTTAAAGGTGATAACCAACACTTTGGATTGGACCTGGAAACAAACTAGAACCCAATGCAGCTCTCGCAGCAAAGGTGTTACATGTGCCCTCCTTGGGGCACCCATGATTACCCGCACAGCCGCATTTTGAACCAGCTGTAGCTTCCAGATACTCTTCAAGGGTAGCCCCATGTAGAGCACATTGCAATAGTCTAAACGAGAGATGACCAGGGCATGAGTGACAGATTAGAGGGACTCCTGATCCAGGAAGGGGCACAACTGGCACACAACACGAAGTTGTGCAAAGGCCTTCCTGGCCATGACTGCCACCTGCTCCTTGAGCAGGAGTCCTGTGTCCAGGAGGACCCCCAGATTATGCACTGGGCCTGTCTGGGGAAGTGCAACCCCTTCGAGAACCAAAGATAGTAAACCCCCAGATACAAAGGGGCCTCCAATCCACAGCCACTCCGTCTTACCAGGGTTCAGCTGAAGCCTGTTGTTCCCCATCCAGACCTCTACAGCCCCCAGGCACCGTGAAAGGGTGGTTACAGCATTACTCAAATCACCCAGGATGGAGATGTATAACTGGGTATCATCTCATGGTGATGGATGACCTCTCCCAGTGGTTTCATGTAGATGTTAAACAGGAGTGGCGAGAGTACTGAACCCTGCAGTACCCCACAACAGAGGGGCCATGGGCCAGACCTCTCACTCCCAATTAACACTAATTGGTACTGACCTGGGAGGAAGGAAGTGAACCAGCACAAAACTGTGCTGCCCACACCCAACTCCCTAAGTCGGCCCAAAAGGATACCATGGTTGATGGTATTGAAAGCCACTGAGAGGTCAAGAAGAGCAAGGATGGATGCACTACCTCCATCCTGCTCCTGCGAGAGATCATCCATGAGCACAACCAATGCTGTTTCTGTCCCATGTCTGGGCCTGAAACCTGACTGGAAGGGGTCCAGATAATCCGTTTCTTCCAATATCCTCTCGAGCTGCAATGCCACTACCTTCTCAACCACCTTCCCTAAAAAGGCCGCTCAGAAGATGACATGGGTCGGTCTAGGTGATGGTGAATCCATCCTTGAGGGAGGGGGTGTTCCTGGTCGCCTTTAAAGAGGCACTGGTACATCCTTTCCTCAAGAAACCATCCCTGGATCCCACCGTACTGTCCACCTTTTTAGGGAAGGTGGGAGACTGGACAAAAATTGTCCAGTACGGTGGGATCCAGTGATGGTTTCTTGAGGAAAGGATGCACCAGTGCCTCTTTAAAGGCGACCAGGAACACCCCCTCCCTCAAGGATGGATTCACCATCACCTAGACCGACCCATGTCATCTTCTGAGCGGCCCTGACCAGCCAGGAGGGGCATGGGTCTAGTTGACAAGTGGTGGCATTAACAGTCTGGAGGACCCTGTCCACTTCCTCAGGTCCAACAGGATCAAACTGTTCCCAGATACCAGGGTAAATCCATACCCTGGGCACCTCCGTAGGCCATGCCCCATGCTTGGAATTCAACTGGGAACGGATCTGAGTGATTTTATCCTCCAAATGCCCAGAAAACTCCTCTGTGCAGCCCTGTAAATAGGCCACCAGGCCCCCCTTTCCCAAAAGGGATCGGGTGATCTTAAACAGGGCCGCCAGACAGCATTCTTCGGATGCAATAAGAGTGGAGAAATATTGATGTTTCGCCACTCTTACCGCCACAGGGTAGGCCTTAATAGTGGCTCTAGCCTGTATTCGGTTGGATTCAGTCCCTGTTTTCCTCCAGCAGTGCTCTAGACATCTCTTAATCCTTTTTAAGACCCTTAACTCCTCCGTAAACCACGGGGAGTGTCAGGCTCAATGGAACAAGAGAGGTCACATGGGTGTGATCTTGTCCGAGGCCTCGCTGCCTTCCTATTCTAGGCAGCAGCCAAGGCCTCCACTGGACCACGCAGCAGATCCTCAGGTATCACCCCAAGCTCCCTTTGGAACCCAATTGGGTCCATCAGTCACCAGGGGCAGACCAATTGAATGAGTCCTATCTCCCTGTGGAGGCGGGTAGCATAAGAGAATCTTAAGGTCACCAGGGCATGATCTGACCATAACAAGGGGGGCAGATGTAACTCCCTCTTCAGATCATTTTGCCACTGCTCTGACAAGAAAACCAAGTCTGGTGTGAGACCACTGTCCCAAGTCTGGTCGCGAATAATCTGGGACAGGCCCACAGCCGCCATGGTGGCCATGAACTCCCCGGCCACCTCCGAGGCGCATCCCAGGGACGGCAATTGAAGTCCCCCAGAACCATAAGTCTGGGGAACTCCACCACCAGCCCCAAGACAGCCTCCAGGCAGGGAGGTTGCTATGCAGCAGGGAGGCTGGTACAGCAGCAACAATCCCAACTGTTCTCGTGAACCCAGCTTCAGGAACAGGGTCTTACAACCAGCCACTTGTAGAGCAGCACCCCTGAAGGCCAACAGAGATTCTCAGATGACAACAGCTACCCCTCCTACCCTGCACTGGGGTCTTGGCCAGTGCCAAACTGTAAACCCAGCTGAGCACATTTATGAAAGGGGCACCCTCCCTTCAGGGCCCATCCAGGTCTTGGTGATACATGCCAGGCAGCCCACTTCTCAGTGATCAGTTCATATATAAGGGGGGCCTTGTTGTTAACTGACCTGGCGTTAAGAAGCAGCAGCCGAAAGCCAGGGCCTCCATAGGTCTGCTGTCAAGGGCCTGGGTCTGAGTCCAGAGGGCTGGAACATGCCACCGGTAATAAACACCAGGGGCATCTTCCCCGAGAGTGGTCTACCTTTTAATTCCTGTCATAACACGCCCTCCCCGTCACCACCTGAATAGTATGACCTGCCCTAAACCCCCCAGGGACTCCAATTCCCCCCAATTCCAGGCCTCTGGCTTCCCTAGTTAGTGGACCCTCCATTCAAACATACAATAACACTCACCCAATCAATTAAATCAATCAATTTAATTATCGTTAATTGTTTTCAATTATTGATAAAAATTGTTTCTTGTTTTTCATCTGTTGAATTCCAGTTGTCAAAAAAATATGGCCCCGTTTTCCGGATCAAACTGGGATTCCAGGAAATGGTGGTGCTGACTGGCTATGAGACAGTCAAAGAGGCTCTGGTGAACCAGGCGGATGTATTTGCAGAGAGAGCTGTCATCCCCTTTTTTGAGGAATTTGCAAAGGGCTTTGGTGAGTTATTTCACTCTGGATTATAGCTGGCATTTCTTGCAGATGTGTGATAAGTATCATGTAGAACTTTTCACCTGAGGTTTTCACAGGCAGTAATCTCAGAGAACTGGGACAGCGTCTGCAAATCCAAACAGGACAGAGAAAAATGTTTATTTTGCCACCTTGACTTGATGCCCGAATGCTAATGGAGGGGGTGGAGAATAAAAAGAAATAGCAATATTGTAGTAAAAGCAATCATACATTCCACCCCCTTCCATACATACATCCAACAGGTTTGATTCTGCTTCTTTGAAAATTTGGGTATGGAGAGTCCCAGTATTCTATAAGCATTTTTCTTGATTTTTCTTCTCATATATGTACATAGTTATACATAGCTTTGCTTTGGGCAATGTTTTTGCCAGTTTCTCTTCCCTAATACACAATTTGGTCCAACCTTTATGGAAACTTAAAATTTGCAGGGCCTGTTCCGAGCCTCTAGCAATTGTCAGAAGTGGCTGGTATGTGTAGAGAAGGATGGACTGTTTTCTCCCAAAGATGAACTCCTGCCACCCCTCCTGGCAAGAGGCACCAAATGGGTATTTTACACATTTGTCTTCAACACTTACTCATCATAAGCATCATACGTTGTTTTTTCTTAGCTACCACTTTTAACTAACCTTCAGATCTTATTAATAAATCACTCAGAGCATGTCCACTGCATTTCCAGTTCTCTTGGAAAGAGATCAATACATGTTTGGTGTAAAGATCAGATAGAAGCAAACTGCTTTCCACAACCTTTATTTTTGATAATCTAACAATTCTGGAAATAACTTCAAAAGAGATGATATGCATTATAATGGTGGAATTTTGCTGATACAAACAGATCTTAAACTTAACCTCATGTCTTCATTTCAGGTGTTGTTTTTGCTCATGGTGAGAACTGGAAAGTGATGCGACGGTTTACATTATCCACTTTACGGGACTACGGAATGGGCAGGAGGACTATTGAAGACAAAATCATTGAAGAATGTAGCATCTTGACGAAAACAGTTAAGACTTATGCAGGTAGGTAGTATCTTTCAGGACAAATATAGAATGTGAAATAACTTCATCAGATTATATCAAATGAACAAGGACTGCTTTTGGAGTACCTTCTCTCCAACAATTCTTAAACCTATCAGTTTTTTCCTGCAAAGATGTCTAGCTGTCCAATATATACTAAACAGGATTTTTCTTGAATTCATATTATAGAAATGTGACTAATGGATGTGTAATGGTATGTGGGGATGAACTTGGGAGACAGGGCAGTGAGATGCAGACAAGGGAACGGTCAGATAAAAGGCAGCTTAGCCTGCAGCAGGAATGTGGGTGGTACAAGAGGCTCAGAAGAGATCCTCCCTAGTTTTTTGGGCTGTAAAGAGGAGTGGGGGAGATTTGTACTTTCAGACAAGATTCTTTAATGTATCCTTACAATAAAGTAGAATTAGCTCATCTGGTCGTGTTTACTGTCTGGTCCTTTCTGGTAGTGTTCATACTGGGAATAGTTTCTTATTCTATACCCTTGAATAGCTAATTCTGTATAATCTAATCTATCTCTTATAAATGAAAGCTCTAGGCTTACTTTTCTGTATAATTAAGGGAGGAGTGTTAGGGCTGTAACCCTATATGCAAAGATGAAAACATGTTGTAAACATATGTTGCTCCTCCCTGCTTTAGGTCAATGATAATCATGTTGCAGGTTCTCAAAGAACATAAACACATTTTCTAAATGTATTAAGTGATTTATAGTATTACTCCAAATTCTCCAACAAAAGTATTGGTTTTCAATTGTCAATATTAGATTCCCCTTTATGGTTAGTTTAGCACAGAATCAAACTGGAATTGGTGCACTTATTCATCAGGACACCTCACTGGTGGCTAATATAGAAGGAGAAATAATTCCATATTCTCCAAAATATTGGTCCTTGAGGCTCCTCAGCTTATAAAATGTGTTGGATGTGTCTAGCACACAATAGTAGAGCTGCAAAACTCTGCATGATGTAGGATAGCAGCAAAGGGGTACACAAAGCTTTAATCACTGGCATTTATGGTTGTCTACATTTTTGCAAACCAGAATAACAATATATTTACATTCAATGATCTGAGAATTTTCAAGTAAAATAAAATATTGTCTGTGGCCACTATCCTAACTGCCACAGAAAATTGTTTTGATATCTTAAAATTAAATTAATTGGTTTTGGCTTAGATCAATTAATTTTAAAGCAAGAAAGGATTTTAAATGAATCCATTAATTTATTAATTTTGGTATGGTAGATTCAAATTACAACAGGTCCTTTAGACTATTTTATATTTCCCACCATCATGGATCAAAACTTACTATTCTACTTATTTACACATGTTAAAGTTGAAGTTATATTGAGTTGGTGAGATCCTCAAAAAGTAAGAGATGAGAAGTTTAAAAAACAAAATATAATATATGAAATGGTATATGGCTGTGGTGGAAGCAAGGATGGTTGATAAGAATAGACTAGGCTTGGTTATATTCCTCCAGGTACTCAGTTATGATCCGAGGTGAGCCCAGCACATGTGTAGTTTGGTATGGGATTATTATAGTACCTTAGTTGGAGTGTGATTTTTTTTTTAATTTGGGGGAGGGGGAAGTCCTTGTTTTGTTTTGTTTTACACCTTTATAATGGTTTGATGGATATTAGCCACCCAAGGTTATTTGTATAAGTTGGGTGGCCGTAAAAATTGTATGTCTGTATAAATAAATAAACTAATGAATTAGCTTGCCCTCATAAGGATTAGCTTGTCCTCTCATACTCAAATCAGTCCACAACTTATTTTTTATTTTTTATTAAATTTAAATAGCCCCCATCTCATGTTGTGACTCTGGGTAGCACACTCAGTAAAAAAAAAAACCAATTATTCAAAATAATTGAAAATGAAACCATTAAAAATATAGTTAAAACAGTTAAAAACTATAATAAAAATGTGGGAGAGTACATTCTAAACTTAAACACAGTGCAACCATTTAATGGACTCCACACTTTTATGTGATTCCCAGGCTCAATGACAAAACCAAGTTTTAAAGTCCTTCTGGAAGGCCTACAGGGTTTGAGCCAATCCCACCTCAAGGGGAATGATGTTCCAAAGGGCAGGATTCTCCTGAGTCCGGCCAAATGAAGCTCCTTGGCCAATAGGACACACAACATACCTTCTGCCAGACCTGATGGAACATGTAGATGAAACCAGGGAGAGGCAGTTCCTCAAATAACCAGGCCCCATGCCATTTAGGCCTTTAAAGGTCATAACCAACATTTTGAATTGGACCCGGAAGCAAACTGGCAACCAACTGCGCTTTCAGAGCAGAAGTGTAACATGTGCAATTCTAGAAGCACACATAACCGCCCGCACTGCTGCATTTTGCACTAGCTGAAGTTTCTGGATAGTCTTCAAGGGCAGCCCCATGTAGAGTGCATTACAGTAATCCATTGTGATGGAATGGAATTATGAAGGCCAGACTCAGGGAGGAAGACATGTTCTTTCATCTCCTGAGGAGCAAGGGAGAGATAAAAGGATGAGGCTGGCACCTCCCTGAGGAATTCACAGTGTTGTGACTGGCATTACTTGGGAGCTAGAGTTTCAGTCTGGGAAGATTGATGTCAGGCCTAGCCCAAGGAACTCCAGGAGACCATGTA